ATTCTTGACCTCTCCACTAAATGCAGGTGAGTGGTTATCTTCACGCCCCTGTCGCTTTAACCTGGGGGAATGAGCGCCAGGTACCCAATGGATAGGGGGCAGAGTGAGCCCCAGAGCCGTTTTGGAACGCTGTAAAGCAGGTAAAAATATTTTGCCCTTTCCAAGAATCGAACCCCAGCCGTTCAGCCCGTCGCTATACCGACTCAGATAACTTCTGTTTCGAAGCCAGGTGCTACAGGCTGTGAGGCTGCTTCATGTTGCTCAGACTACGGCTGCAAGAAAGAGGTCTGTCAAGCTAAGTCAGTGATCGCAGACATTCGGCCTACTAGTCAATCAGGATCAATCAGCTCATTAAGAAACTTGCCAGTCGGTCAGTAGCTGGAGCCCTACTTGCTGCAGCTTTCTCCCGCCAGCAGTTCCGTGGTTCCTGCCGCAAGCAATCTTGTTTCCGCCCACCCCCCCAAGTTTCGTTACACTCCTCTCCTGCCGCATTCTCTTGCTTTCTTTTCCTCTCCTCTTCCTACTCCTCATTTTCCTCACGTGCATTTCTGCTTTCCTTTCTCTACCTTCTCTTGAAATACTTATCTTCCACTCAAAGACAAGATACCATGTTTTGAAACCATACACACCAAGGGGTGGGGCACGTGATAGCGTACTTAGTTGAAGCAATGTGCTACAAGCCAGAACGTCGCGGGTTCGATTCCCGGTCAAGTCATTGGATTTTTTTTTTCAATTTACCTAATACTTTCCAGCATCACTATGGCCCTGGGCTCGACTCAGCCTCTAACAGAAATGAGTTCCAGCAATTTTGTTGGGGCTAAAGGCCGGCCGGTGCGTAAGGCTTACAACCTAACCGCCATGTGTGAGCCGATTGTCTATAAAATGTGGGAACCTCGACGTCTCACAGCCTTATGGGCCTCCATGGGTCTGTTACAGGGACAGCTTTACCTTTTTACCTTTACAGTTTTTAATATTTTTTTATTGCTAGTGGGGTGGGACTAAGTCCCTTGACTGCGGCCACTTTTGGCCTATTGTACCAGCCCCAGATGATAGGTGAGGGTGATTGTGGAGCAATTGGTGGAATGAAGATTGGCAGGGGAAACCGAAGTACTCGGAGAAAACCTGCCTCAGCGCCACTTTGTCCACCACAAATCCCACTTGACCAGACCCGGGATCGAACCCGGGCCGCCGCGGTGGGAAGACAGCGACTAACCGCTTGAGCTATGGCGCGGCCTCCGTTTCTAAATAAAGGCTCTACAGTACTACTGTTTATTTATTTATTTTCATCACAAGTACTTATATCATTAAATTTCACATTTCCTTGTGCTCTACGTATTTTCGTCTTCTAAGGATGACCTCTCCCCCTCCCCTAATTACTCAGGATTAGCGAGGCTTTACTGTATTACAGAACAAAAAAAATCCCTGGTTGCAACTACGGTTCAAGGCAGATACCGCTCACTCAAAGTCTGGGTACCTGGCGAAGTCATACACAAAATGTATGCAAGAGGTCACATCTCGCGCAGTCCGGTCCAAGCCGACCGACCTTTCGGCAGTAATATGCCGCCTCTGTCTTCAGGGTCGAAGAGCAATTCAAGCGAGAAACCAGCGTGACGCAGGGATCCGCTTGCTGCCGACTTCCTGCTTGGCTTATTCTCCGACCATGAAGATTGAAGCTGTATGCTCCCCTGAAACGTCGGTTACTTGAACCTGTCTACGCGGCCTTGTATCCCAGGCAGTGAGAACCTCGGAGCCTATGTAAACCGCAAGAAGTCATGTCGGTGACCTTGTGTGTTCAGTCTGGTTAAGGGAACCTGCCCCAGCAAACATCCCCCCCCCCGACACTTTGCTGCCCGTCATGTTCCACACCAACTTCTGATGCGTCTGCAAAAGAAAGTTCCCAGATGACCTACTGCCTTCTCAGTGTCGTCCTGTCTGCGCGTCTGTTCAAGAGTAAAAGCCCCAGAGCAGCTGAACTTGTAGGGGGGGGCTAAATTGTTATCAGTAAAAAGAAGGTAGAGCTATCCCTGTAACAGGAAGTGGAGGCCCATAGGGTTGTAGGACGTCGAGGTTCCCACATTTTCTAGATAGTAGACTCGCAGATGGCAGTGAGGTTGTCAGCCTTACGCGCCGCCCGCCCTTTATCCCCAGGAAGGTTCCTGGCACTCATTTCTGTTAGAGGTTGAGTCGACCCCAGAGCCATTGTGCGGCTGGGAGGATTAGGTCAATTGAAACTCCAGTGACCTCGTCGGGAACGGAACCAGCGACTTGCGGCTAACACCATAGTGCCTCAACCAACCGCGTGATCCACATGTGTAACGGTGCGTTCAAATTTTCGTTAAAATCGGGACAACAATTACAAATATTTCGTAAAATATTCCGGCGCCCGTTTCGAACGTATATTTATCGAAGCGAGAAATATTTCGAACGGCAGTAATAGCGAGACACAAGACACACGTTTTGTACATAACGCACTCTTCCCCTAAGTCCTGCACATTTCAAGGCAATTAAGACAGATCGGATTTTCGTACTGTGTTATCCTGTGATTCTGTAATGAACCTCTGCAGATAAGCCTACCCACTCACACCGCCTGCTGCGCGCTACTTGTACGGCCGCATAAAAGAACTGTCATTCACTGACTGAAAAATTCTGAAGCAACAACAGAGCGAAAATGGCAGACATTTTACGCTGTGCGTACATTTCCTGTCTTAGAATTACTGTTTTTTTTTACTTTCTCCATCGGCCGGAATTCTAGGTAATAAGAGGACACGACGTTTCGGAAATTGGATCTGTTCCCGTCTGGTGATTGAGATTAGCTCTTTCTAACGAGCCCGACTGAGTAGGTGTCTTCCTTCCTCGTCTGAAGACGGAAAAAAATTCCGGACGATGGAAAAGTCCAAAACCCCAGTAATTCTGTGTCATCCACCATCGTCAGAACCCTTTAGAATCTATTTCCTATACTTTTTTTTTCAAATGATAGAGCCTAATTATTGAGGACAAACACTTGGACGGACAGACATACAAACATGATATCATAAAATCTATCTCTGCTCGTATATTAAACATGTAGACTGGGCTAAAAAATGCGAACAATCTGGAGACAGCTGGGATTTGAAGTCGTGATCACATTTTTCGAGTAAGACACGCCAGGCGCTGTGCTGGAAAACTGACAACTGTAATGAGGGCAACAGACACGAAGCCACGATCTCTCGTTTACGCAATTGTGACGTGTGGCCCCCGCATTCCAGCGAGAGAATGGCGCTCCTTTTGGCGACGCCGATACACAATGGCCTTCGGATGCCCTTCACGAACCTCCCTTTGTCTCGACCACCTGACCTGCTCCTGCCGTTCGGAACAGCTCAGTTCAGCCTTCAGAGTCGCCGCTCTCAGGTCCTTAAATCCAACAACTACTACTTCAAAGTACAGTGGTTATCATATGTACCACCTGTCATAACATTCAAGAGTTCTGCATTTTGTTCACAAGAGGGTGTAAATTTGTCCCTGTGCTCAGTTAATTAAGCAGTACGCCATGAAGACGTATGGGGGAGTGGATGTATAGATCCACGTATTCTTGACCTCGGCACTAGTTTGAGCTCTTGGTATCCTTCACACTCCGGCCGCTTTACCGCCGGGAAAAGAGCGCCCGCTACCCATTGGATAGGAGGCTGGGTTGGCCCCAGAACCGGTTTGGACGACGTGAGAAGGAAAAAAATCCTGCCTCTGTCGGGGCTCGAACTCCGAGTCCTCGGCCGTCCAGCTTGTAGCCAATCTCTATACCGACTGAGCTATCACGGCTCCGTCCATACCAGGCTATTATATGATTCTCGCAATAAACAGTGATTATTTCACTAAATAGTATGAACCGGTTGGGCTTTGTTATGGAGACGAAGTGTTTCCTGTGAGGTACGTACTGAATTGTTTAATACAACTGTACGAATTTCTTGTTTCCATTTCAAAGCCGAGAATATGACAAATAAAATCCGCAACGTTGACACGTCTGGCTGAGGGACTGGATCTCAGATCGTTGCGTTATGTAATTTATTCCAAGGCACACAAACACTAGCATTACCCATGTTACAGTGAAGTTAACTTTCCTTAAAACACCACTTCACATGCCGTCTCTCATATGTTTTCCTGCCGTTTCACTTAGGGAGATAGCCTCCAATGATGACTGAAATCCGATCACAATCACTGAAGCCGTTTTAGAGAAAATCGCAATTTTGTTCGAGGGGAGGTGCCTGTCAACGGCGTCCCGCCAAAATCTCAAGACCGACTTTCTTCAAGATCACAATTTTTCATACACGCTTTGCACTGAAAAAGTAAAATATACTGTGGTGTGCATGACCGTCGCTAGGCAACGACCGCGAAATAAGGAACTATACAACAGCCGTTGCACGGTAATGACCGCAACAGACATGCAGGAAACAACAGAATAACTGTTATGAGAGGTGTTTTCTGCGTAGTCCGTGCCGATGTTATATAACGAGGATTGGGTTCGATTACGAGAGTCTTGAGACTGAAGTGAGAAGAGCAAGAGTTTGGCGTGAGATAGCTGCCAGTAAGTTGGAGCAGTGAGTGAGACAGTGGCCGGCCAGTAAGGACGTGAACATGGAAGCTGGGGAAGCTACGGCTTTGGAAGCCGTTACAAGGCGACAACCGGTGATGACACAGCAGACTGAAAAGACTTAGTACGTGCTGTAGTAAACTGCAGAGTGCGTGAATTGGCGACAGCGCTATAGTTACTTGTAGTTACGCTCTGTAAGAGTTCAATAAATGCAATTACCAATCCTACCCCCCTCTATAGGCACTCATACACGTGATAATATTAAGCAGAAAGGCGCCGCCAATACGACGGCGCCTTCCTGCTTAATATAATCTGCTACTACTACTACTTGATCCTAGAACGTCTGTAGTTTAGACTGTAGTAGTAGTAGTAGTAGTAGTAACGATACGTCGCGACCTGAAGCTAGGGCTCCGCCATTTTGTGACAGCAATCAGCAAACCTGGAGTGTGGCGAGAGGTGCTGACATCTGGACGCGGGCTCCGGTGCCAAACCTCAGCATTGCGCTCGCCTGCAACACAAAAAGATGGGTGTGTAAGCTTTCGGAATGGAACAGGGGAAAGTGTGCCTTCTTTTTGTCCCTGTATTTTGTTTACCGGCGCTTTGAGTATCCCAGACTATACGGCGTCACGCGGTAGCAAGATACCTCATTGATGAAGAATTGGGAAGTATTTGGAAGGGAGCGGTCGGTCGTGGTCTTAATCGCCGTACTACCCCGGCATTTGCCGAGAGGAACTGAGTAAAACTACCAAGATCCACATTTCCAAATACAAGTCAGAAGCGTTACCTCTTGAGCTAACCTGCTCGCTTTCTTCTTCTTGAAAAGCCAATAGTGGCTCAGCGAGTCAAGAAATCCCGCGCCTTCTATGGAACCCGAAGGTCCAGTACCACGTTCCAACAGCCGCCATTGGTCTCTATCCTGAGACAAATGAATTCAATGCGCCCTCTCATATCACATCTGTTTAAAAATTAATTTTAATAGATATTTTAACCTTCTGTCTATGTCTAGATCTTTCCAAGTGATTTCTGCCCTTCAGGCTTTCCAAAGACATCTTTGCTTCCATGACATGAGGCAAGGAGACTTAGCACATCACAGCAAGACAGCAAGGTGATCCCATAAGCCTCATAACAGAAATTATGCGGGTGTACACATACAAACAAACAAGACAAACAAGTAAACCTCATAAACCTCGTTTTATTTTTCAAAATAATGGAAGTAGGGTAATAAATAATGTCATTACTTGTCTGTGTGTCCCCCCCCCCCAATTCTTTCATTTCTACGCGAATAGTTCTTCCCAGAACTTTTCTCTGTTCCAGTTCGCCTTTTCTACTTCTGCGCATGCTCCTTCTTATCCTTCCCCTATGTTCCCCCTTTATCACGGAATTCTCAGGAGAGCGGACCGCACTGTCCAGTTCGAAATCTTAAGGGCATGGCTCCATGTCAGTTCATTGTAGTCTGACAGGTCGTGATCTGTCGTGCACTACGTCATCATCAGAACCCTTCAGAACTGACTGGTTCCGTGGCGTAGCGTTGCCATGGCAACCAGCCCCGAACTGTCGTGGCATCATTTCTTCACTTCTGAGGCGTTATGGTGTCACCGGAAGTCAAAACAATGCGTTTGCCAATACGGAGGTGTTGCGTCACCTCTCATTATCAATAATTATTTTGCGTTTCCTTTCTCATTATCATTCCAGTCACATACCGGCAGAATAATTGTATTAGCAGTCAAGCAAAGAATTGTTGTGTTCGCGGAAGAAGGGCATAACGGACCACAAGGCAACCGCTTATTTATTTTATTATGGTTTACCCAACGACGTGGCCAGCAGTTCATACTACATAGAGTGTCCCGCCACAGGATGTCTATATTTGCTTGACGCCGTCCGGTTGGGATCACTCTGAGCCGACTATGGGTCCCATTTGCAACAGCTCGTCAAGAAAAGGAGAATGAGAATTTTATTACGCTTATAAGTTTGAGTATGCCAAGGACCCTGAGAGGTATACCAGCGGTAGCGTAGCTACTGGCAGAGCCTCCCTTGCTGGACAGGTCAAAGGGTAGGCATCAGACGAAGAGAGACACCAAAAACCAAAAACTGATGCCGGAAGCAGCGTCATCAGCAGCGACTTGAAGCATAGAGCAAATGATGCTCGAGATGGTTCAAGTTCGTATAGCAATTGACGTGACCAGAGCGGTTTGAACGGCTGTTGTACTGCGATGTGGAAAGCAAATGGAAAAACTACCACATTATCACTTTTCCTGGATAGTCTCTTTCCAAAAACAGAAGATCGCATCGCATTAAGTGGAGGAACTGTTTTGGAAGAGACTGTGGACCTGTCGTCTGACAGATGACTGATGAATGAAAAATAATTTTTACATTATTTACATTTAATTTTAAGTTATATTAATATCATCAGCAGCAGCAGCAGCGGGGGCACGTGGTAGCGTATATATTTGAGGCACTATGTTACAAGCCAAAAGGTCGCGGGTTCGATTCCCTATAGTGAACTAATCCTACGGCCCTGGGGTCGACTCAGCTCCTAACAGAAATGAGTACCAGGATCTTCCTTGGGGTGAAGGCAGGCCGGCGCGTAAGGCTGACAACCTCACCGCCATCTGTGAGCCGACTGCCTAGAAACTGTGGGAGCCTCGACGTCTCACAACGCTATGGGCCTCCACGGCTTGTTACAGGGATAGCTTCACCTTTTAGGAGTTCCAGTTGTAGGGCTACATTCCAAATTGCATTTGCAGTTGCGTTACTTTACACGACTCGAAACAGCCACCCTGATGGTCAGTGCACAGCAATTCAGAGTGTAAATAACATCTAGAAGTTTGTGACGATGGTATAGCCCATGTTTATGGACATTATCCATCGTCTTGTCTATTTTCTAAAACCGTCCTGTTCTTTTCAAAACACAAAACGTTTCGGACACTGGAGTCTGTCCCCGTCCTCAGGTAAAACCTACCCAGTTGGGTCCGATAGATAGAGCTAGCCTAATGAGGTAATATCCCGAAATATGACTGAAGGAACTGAGGAAAATCACGATAAACATCAATTAAAATAAACTGTCTCCTTGCCAACATTCGAACCCTTGACTTTCAGGCCAAGAGACAGGAGCTCTAAGCGCTTGACCACTGACAGGAGGCCACTTATGACAGTGGCTAACTGAGGCAACAACTCTTCTTGGGAAGCTGACAGCCGCTCACCTAATCAAACAATTCTCCACCTTCCCTCGAACCCGTAGGTTCATTTCCGTGTCCACTAGAGCCATCACCGGTCCCTGTCCTGAGCCAGATGAATCCAGTCCACCCATTCATATGCTATCGCAGTAAGCTCTATTTCAATATTACCCTCCCACCAACCCCTGCCTTTCCAAACCATTCTGCCCCTCGTTCTGTGTGAGTACAAGTTAATATTCGCTTCTTAATTCCACGGATCAGTAAGGTGACTGGAGCCGACTCTTGACATAAACATCACGGGATTTCTAAGGATTACGTATGCACATTATTTAACACGAGAACAATTTCATAAGTTGGCAGGACTGATCATAATGCCCCCCCCCCAACCCATTGTTTCGCCACTGGAGAGTTTCTCGATTAGATCTGTGTCATGGAAGTGATTGCCAAAATGACCTTATGTCCATTTGGCAGTAAGGTCCGTAATTATATTATGATACTGGTGAAAGTATTCCTTACTGATATGTTGTAATATGGCCCTATCTGCTTGTTATTCTGGGCGTATTATTACGTGGCACCGGCTGGTATTGTTTCGCCTGCTGATGGCTTCCAGGCACATCTATCGGCTGCAACAGCTGCACATCCTCAGCGATCCGTATGCAAAACGCAAAGCAGGAACTTCCATTTAAATTCCGTCCCACACTCAGAACATTCGTGGCTTTCTTCAGCTGCTCCAAGCAACTGCCGGGACAGTACCTCTAGTGACTAGAATATGGGTTCGAATCCTGACAGGGGAGAGACTTTTTTCTTCTTCACAGCGTTCAGACCGGCTCTGGTATCCAGCGGACCTGCTATTACGTATGTACCTGGGACAGTCGCCCCCGGGGAGAAGCGGCAGGACAGGAAAGTTGGTCTCTTCTTAATCTAGTAAAGGTGAAGCTATCCCTGGAACAGGCCGTGGAGGCCCACAGGGTTGTGAGACGTCGAGGCTCCCACATTTTCTAGACAATCGGCTCACAGATGGCAGTGAAATTGTCAGCCTTACTCACCGGTGGCTTTTCAGCCCCAGGAAGATTCCTGGTACTCATTTCTGTTAGAAACTGAGTCGACCCCAGGGCCATAGTGCGGCTAAAAGGATTAGGTTAATTGAAAAATCCAACTGCCTCATCGGTAATCGAACACCCGACCTTCCGGCGTGTATCATAGTGCCTCAACCAACTACGCTACTGCGTGCCTCCTTCTTGAGCTAGTATCGAAGATGGAGCTACAACTCCACTTCCCCGTACGTCTTCACGGAGTGGTATGAGTACTTAATTCATTGACCACAGGGTCAACTCTCGCTTTACCTCTAAGTTGAAAAGTTCATGTTCCAATAGCACTGAATCACTGTAGTGTAAGGAAGAATGTACACTGCAATTATTTTGGTGTGACCGCTGGGTTCCGAGCCAGCGGAAATCTGATATTAATAATGGATTAGGAGTCGCTTTGACGTCCGTTTAAAGAACACAGTGGTGAGATACAGTGTGAGTGTAGACTATGAGCAGCGTTCATCTGCTGGATCACAGACATGCAGCTTTAATATTTCACTCCATCAGTTCCACTGCGCATATAGAAGACACGGGCCACGTCTAAAAGTGTGACTGTACCTCGTAAGTTAGAAGCCAGTGGCGATAACAAACCGTACATTAGTCGTTGCAATTTTGTCACAGCCTGGCATGTCATTCATCGTTCTGCAAGTACGGCAACTCACATACGAAGTGTGTGTTCATTAAACTGTGAAATGCAATACCCGTACCACTAGATCTGGTAAAAATAAGGTTAGTGGGTTTGCTTGGAATGTTGGTAAGAATATCGTCCAATCAGAGGCAACATCTCATGTGACGGAAAAGCACATCCGGTGGAAACAGGATTGCAGGTAGTGTCCTACTTCGGGCTCTACATCCTAACAGCACCATATTCTAGGATGTGACGCCGTGCAGTCCGGTAGGAATTCAAATGTTTCAAAGGAACATGCTGTCTTCATCTTCACGGTCGGAGAATAAGCCAAGCAAACAACCAACAAGCAAGAAGAAGGGTTAACTCTACCAAACTACGCGGCGTCACATAAGAGAAAACAGAACTGCTTAAATGACCGCCGTTAGAGCCTCAGATACAATACAGACAAATACTGACGGAGGACTTGTTTAGCGCACAAGGACGAATCTTCAGTAACCCGCTATAAGTGCGATACGTAGACTTGGCGAAAGGCCAAGCATATTCATAAGAGAGAAACCCATCTTCTCGTCAGAGAGGAAGTTACATAAGGACTATGACCGCAAGGGTTCAGTTGGAAGAGAAA